TTCGTCCACGCCCACCATGTGCTCCGTGTCAGCAGCTGGAACATAAAGGTCGCTTCAATTGGACACTGAAATGAAACAACCCTGGGATTTACCTTTACAAACTGAGATCCAGTGGTACCGTGTGGTTTTGCTTTACCAGTAAGAAACCAAGCAGCGCTGCTTTAGAACGATTAGAATGATTTTAATAGCCAATTACACTCATCTCGTGTTACTGAGGCTGCAGTTTTTCATCTTGTCTTGCTGATGTCATCACCTGTGACTCACCTGGAACCAGATTTAACAAGATTCCCAGTTTTTATAACAGTAAAGAACTGTGATTTAAAACTAGCTTCTCATAATTTGAGCCAGTTTTAAAATGTGCAGACTTTGTAGTAGCACAGGGAACATAGCTGTACTCAAACCCTACAATAAATGCTGCTAAGTCCATGCAGCAGCAGCGGTGGTGGTGGACAAGGTGGTTATCCCAGCGGGAGCCCTCCTACCCCCCACTGGGAATAACGCCCGACTCACATGTAATTCCAGACACGAGCAAAAAAAAAAAAAAAGCACAAATGAAAAAAAGCTTTGGGAATAAACATTTAAACTACTTGAGCCATGACTGATTTATCTTCCCGAGTACTTGAATACTCTGAAGTACGGTCCTATCGGCGGCGGCGGCGGCGATGAGAAACATTTAAGCATATCGCTTTCATTGCATGCTCCAGCTGCTGTGTGAGTTGTTGTGAGCTGTTTATGGGCCCCTGGGGGAGGGCAGGGGAGAGACCTCTGGATCAAAACAATTCCACAGCGAGCAGGAGATGTGACATAAACAACAAGGTTCTTCCCCTCCTTCCCCCCCCCCGGCGAGCCCCGCTGACAACCGAACCGCCCTCGCCTTCGCCGGCGCACCACCGCATGTGCACACAGTCATACATGTCGAGGCGTAATCTCGACTCTCCCCCTGCTTCCCACTTGATTATCTCCCGCAGAGAAGAAGGCGGTATGAAATATGAACAGCTGCCATATGGAAGCGGTAGGATGTGTACGAAGAGGGGAAGCTATCGGTGTGGAAAATCAATTTTGCCGAGTCGCCACCGTACAGCTCCTGTTGGGTAAAGTAGTCCACATTAACCTGTCTTCTCATGCAAACCCTGAGTGTGGAGGTTGGAGAAGAGGTCCATAGCATGCTGCAGAAACGATTTGGATCCCATATGCACCAAAACAAGGAATCTGCATGACCCCCTTGGAGTGTGGTCGTCCCCCAAACATGCATGCAGTGAGTCCACCGTCCATCTCCAGCAGCCTCCAGGCCCTCAACCCGCCAACCAAACTGAGGACAGTGTTAGTATGAGGCTGTGTGCCGTGGTCATGCTCTCCAGGGTACAATTATCCATTATACGCACAGCTCAGTACAGGATATCTTTTCATGTTAGTCTCAGCGGGCAGCGAGCGACGTGGATGATCTGGTAGTGCCCGGCCTTATCTAGAACAAAGCTGACTGACATGCAAAGATACATCAAAGCTCTGCAACGCCGGGAGAGATAATTGTAGAACCTCGCGCAGGAGTCGGGATGTACGGCTTTCGGGTTGACCATCTGATCCAAGAGGATTCAGGTGAAGTGATTTACCTGCTGCACAGATCTGCTCGTGACAAAGACGGCTGGAGTTCCTCTCCTCTCAGGGTTTAACCTCGAAGAAAAGCTAATCTCTGCGCATCAAAGTTACAGACTTAGACTTTTATTTTTTTCATGAAATAATCCCCTACTGCCTTCAAATGGTGATTTTACTAGAATACACAGATCTCAGAAGCCCATCCATCCTGACTGAAGGTGGAGCTCATCAACAACTCAGCTAAAAGCTACACTGTTCTATCCAATGACAAGTTGTCGTGCTGTAGTAATCTGTATGTGTTTGACCAACTTTGAAAAGCAATAAAGGTACAAAAAGCTTCATCCTGCTCGTTGACCGACTCCATCGGCTGCTTGGGTTGGTTATCCTGGAAGTCTGAATCTGTGTTTTTGAGAATCGATGCACTGACGGCTCATTTATCCTCAAGATTACAAAAAAATCACCACACGGACGTTATAGAAAGGTAAAATATTAGATTTTCTCCAAAGTGGGAAAGAGAAACTAAAGAAGGATTCAAGTGTATGATGTGACACGTAAATAATTTGCTCTGTCGTGTCATCTTGAGTGTTTTCTAGCTGGAAAAATAAAACCCCTCGTCATCAGTGACACAGTACGTTCGTATATCGTAGCATGCTTTGGAGATGACAACGTCCTAAGATCACATTTTCATCTTTAGCAGTACTGTCCCAGCGTTCAGCCTCCACTGGGACGTGTTTCCAGACTTCAACAGGGTGTCAATTAGCAGCGCCGTTAATTAAAACGCTTAGATTTTTCCACGTCAGATTTTGAAAGACCAGTGTATAAGATTTGGTGGCGTCTAGCGGTGAGGCTGCAGATTGAAACCAATCAGCCGTCGCTTTAAAAGCATGCAGGAGATCCTGTGGTGGGAAACCAATGGGTGTAAAAACACAAGAAGCCCTCCGTAGAGCCGGCGGTTGGTTCATCAGGTGAGATATGGTACAAAGATGGCAAAGAAGACCGACACAGACACGACGGACTCATTCTAAACTGAAGAAAACACAACGATCACAAGTAATTATTCACTAATGAGCATTTAATTATGAATGCTTTATTCAGCCCCCTACATCCTCCACACTGGTCCTTCAACACAGCGAGGTCTGTCTCTTGGTGTGTTTTTCAGTATTTTCCCTACTCGTACTTTCTGTCTGAATTATTTGGTCTCAAACAAACCAAAAAAAAAAATATGAACATGAGAGTTTTAATTTAATTCTGCAGTTGACTGCACACAATATCCGAGACGCTCATTTTAAACAAGAGCTCGTGTATTTGTCAGGCTTTTCATTGCAAAAAAAAAGAGAAAAAAAAGGATCTTAAAACACAATAATCCTCAAAAAATCTGATTAAAAAACAGAAAATTCATCAAGATAAAATGTGATACACAGATAAGAGAGAGAATTTGTAACCTGGCAGGTAGAAAATAAATCAAAACGTCCTCATATTCCTCGTATTTAACAACCTGATAAGTCAGTCTTAAAACTTTCTTACATGCCTTGCTTTGTCAAGGTTTGTCATGACCTATAGCACTTGAATATACCTTCACACATGAGCTATAGTACTCAGTGCTGCCTTTTGTGTAGCTGTGTTTCTTTCAATACAGCTACCGTTAACCATAGTTCCTAAAAATATGCTCACTTCCTGTGCGGTTGTCACGGACACCCAGAATACCAAAGAATAAGCCAAATTACTAACATCCTAATTAGCTAATTAGTCTGGTTTTAGCACTGTGTAGGGCTGCATGACGTTTAAAACTAAGAATATATGGGCTGCATACAAAGACGTGTTAAAGCTAGAATTCAGGACTTTCACTTAAACATGTTGCATCCAAGCCGCTGCCAAACGAGATCGCACGGCGCTAATTGAGCCTATCAGCAACAAGTAAAGTAAAGTATGCCAGACTTTAAAATGAAAGGACTGAGGCGACACTGAGTGAAGCAGCGTTTTGCTTTAACCGGCAACGTTTGGTTTGCCAGAGCTGAAGAGAGAAGCAATGGAAACGAAATGGGATACAGACACTGAGAGTGTAGTGGAACATGTGGCGGAAAAACCTGGGAAGCATTCAAGATAACTTTCTGATGCTCCACATAACAAACACACTCAGTATTCACAGGAAGGATTACCGCCTCTCTCTATGCATCAGCAGTGTTTGTGTCGCTCACGTCTCGAAGGAGACGACAAAAGTTTTGCACTGCAGGTTTAAAAGTGAGTAAGAATGTTTCCCTACATCGATTCAGTTCCAAAAATCTCTCCTCATGTGACTGACAGAAGCCAGAAACCTGATGCAAAAGACGTGTAACAGGGTGAGGGAGTCGTGTCTTCACTGTGTACCAGATAATATGTAAAATAAACAACACCGTGTACGTGATCTGAGTAACACGTCACAAACAGTAAAGTTAGTTGCACTGACTGGAGGATGCACACGAGACATTTTTAATCACGTCTTGTTGTGATTCCATCAGTCGGGTCATGAGCCGTGCAAATATACTAGCTAGTCTTTCACAGTTAGCTTTAAATGAAAAGTCAAGTATCGTCTGCATAGAATAACACTTTACTATCAATGGAAACAGGATGCATGTGTTCAGACTCTCGTTGTCCTTCAGCTGCAGTCAGATCATATTTACAGAGGACTGGTGTCGTTCATTTTTTGGCTGAAAACAGCAATTAGAGGAAACAAAACAGAGTAAAAACCTGCTTTACTGAAGCCATGTAGCAGGAGTGTGCTTCAGACCTTTTAGCATGAGTTATGGATGCCTACAACTGATCAGGACGCTTTTCACAAGCCAGAAGAGCTAACCTGAACTCACAGTTTTTGTGAGTTTTCTATTAGTCTGATAAACTCTAAAAGCTCATTGAAAACAGCCACGTTGATTTGTTGCTCCCTCTTGTTTTTATCTCATCATAATGTGACCAAGAGTCACTTAAATATTAAAAACGACTTCCTAAACCTGCCATATATTGCAGCGACTTTTACAAACAAGCTAATATTTTGTTATCCCCACATGAACTAAAAATAAATTAGCAAAAGACCACAGATACCTTGGAGCGTTTAGCTTTATAATATTTTCTTCGACAAATATTTCCATATTTGTCTTTTTATATTGCTGCAACAATCACTTTCATCTTTCCCATTAAACTGTCCGTGAGGCTGCAGTAGATTAGAGAGAACACCAAACCCTCGTCTTTTTATCTAAATGAGACCGTGGTTTTAATATTCAAAGGTGGCCGAAGGGTCAAATAAAGTTTTAAAGTTTAATGCATGTATTTAATGCTTGGTTTTGTACACAGGCCAAGCTCCTCTCCAGGGTGAGCATTCTGAATGCAAAACATCCAACTCATTTTATTATCTTGTCGTGAACAGGATGGTTGTTCCTCACCCTGCCGATGATCCTGGGGAAGGGAGCTCTCTGGTTCTCGGTAACGATCATCGGAGGCACCAGCAGGGATCTCTTGGATCTGTACGGCAGCTTCTGGCCAAGACCCAGGACGTCCTGCAAACACAGAGGAGAGGAATCACATCATTAAACTAGGAAATAACAACTGTTATGTCTCACCCAGCTGTGAAACATTCCCCCGGTGTGGTGACACCTCTTTTAAAGCCTAAAAAATTAACAGTTTAGCATCTTTTACGCATCGACAAAGCTTAAACACACACAGCCAGGAGTCAAGTTTGCACCGAAATACTGAGAAAAATGTTGACACAAGCCCCTCTTGGAGTGATGCCCACTTCATTTTTCTTTTTTTGATGGAGACTGATATACACTATATAATGAAAAGCGGTTCAACACCTGCTTCTGGCAGGCGGCACCATATGCTTTACACGTTTGGAGAAAAAGGGGGAAAGAAGAGGATGTTCCCTGGGCAAACATGAAAGAGGCATCTCTGCTGCTCTCACTGCAATTTCATTTCTCATTCTTCCTTTAATTTGTTAAATAAGGACAGTAGAGAGAGAGAGAGAGAGAGAGAGAGGCAGACAAAAGCAGAGCAAAAACAAAGACGGAAAAAAGGTGGCGAGCGCAAAGAAACGAGAGATGACAAGATTTTGGCGAAGCGGCGTGCATTGTTCGAGCAGAAGGAGCCATTCTGAAATGTTCTCTTTGCTCTTCAGAACACAATGGCATAATCTAATTTCATCGTCTCCCCTCCTGCTGCTGGAAGAGTGAAAAATGCTCTTTTCTCTCCTGCACTTTGGAGTCACTGATACAATTAGGGCCCTTTCTGCTTGGCTGTTGATGAAAATAATACCCGTCACCGACACCGTGAGCAGGAAGCCCCGGCTGCTGGCGTGGAGGCGACGACCTACAGCGAGGACGACCTGCTGGCTGTCTGCACACCTGGACACCAGCCGAGGAGGACAAACACCGACACAAACAACATGCAGATGATCTAAAAAGCATGTTGTACAAACCTATGAGCATATTGCAACACGAGAAGACTAAAAAAGGGGGTTCAGAGATCAGCAACGTCGATCAAATAAGCAGCCGGACACATTGAGGAGTTCAGACTGAGTTTGTTGACAGCAGTGGGGATAAAGGAAAGTGTTCCTGAAAGTAACACGACGTAGAAGTTTTCTTGAGGATCCTCTGGCCATGTCTTTACATACACATGGTGATGGGATGGGTGTTCCTTCCTCCCACTGCTCTGGTAATCAAGCTGTTTCCTTTAGACTCTACCTGGACAGTGAAGACATCACACCAGGCTGCCGTGCTGCATTTACTCCACAACAGATGTTTCAGGGAGATACAGTCATAAGTACTACCAACATTTTGTGCACACTTTTCCATGCCGCCACCATCCACGACGGCTTCAACAGCAGAATTATCACATTTTTGACGAGTGCATGATTTAAAGCTGTTTTACTGGATTCTTTCTGCTGCACACCAGCTTTTTGTTTACTGACGTCCTCGTCTGTTCCACTGATGTGCATCTCGTCGCCGCTTTTTGCTCGCTGAACTAACGACCAGACGAACATCCACAGCGGAAAAGTGCATTTCCTATCTTCAAATTGCAGGCTAGTTAGTTAATTAGCTTGATTAGCTACTTACCTAATTAGCTAATTAGGCATCAGCTGAGCTCCAAAAAGAAAAAAAACGTATTTGCAAATGTAATTTCAGTCTTTTTCAGATGCTAATGTGACCCTTGCGTTCATTACCGCTGCGAACAGAACTGTCGGCCCGTGTCGTGTGCGCTCCGGTTTCCAGCGCGAGTTCATTTACTTGGTCTGTCTTCCTGTGCCAGGGCTCAGCCTGCCAGCAGCTGCCAATCAAACACAGACGCCACCAGAGGACTTCAGGAAAAGAGAATTTCTGGCATTTTTCTCCTTTTTTTTTGTCTGGAGAAGAGTTTAAAAAAAAA